CAACCTGCATCTGATCCGCACGATCATATAGAGTGTAAAAGACAATGATCGAGCTGCGCTGATCAATTTGGATTAGTCCAAGGCATTTGATAGGGTCGACCGTCAGTATCTGGCTGCTGTCCTGCAGGCCACCGGATTTGAACTCAACTTCTGCAAGTGGATCAGCATCCTGTATCACTCCCCCAGTACTGTGGTACAGGCAAACGGGAAACAGTCCAGTGCTTTTGCGCTGTCACGGTTGGTTCAACATGGTTGGTCCAAAACGGTTGTCTGCTGTTGCCCCTACATTATGCTTTGGGCTGGAGCCCCTTCTTTGCCAGCTGAGGGACTGGGCATGCAGTCCAGCCCTACGCAAAATCACTGTTTTCCCTGGTAGAGCTTGAGCTAGGGTTTCTGCATGTGCTGATGACATATCCATTTTCATGTCGTGCCATTGGGACATTAAGGCAGTACAAAAAGTGCTTGAATGGTACAAGAAGGTAACAGGGGCCAAGATTAACCGTAACAATCTTCCGGTTTGCAATTAAGTGCCTGGAAGTTGTTTGTGCTTCCAGTGCCCTTTGGTTGGACTGATGGATCAGTCTGCATTCTTGGAGTGTGGTTTGGGACCAGACTCCAGCTGGTGAAGAATTGGTCAGAAGTACAAGCAAAGGTCGGAGCGTCAGTCCAGACTTGGCTATGAAGGAGGTTGAGATGTGTGCCACTTACGTCTTGCCCCTCATCTTGGCTGTACTTCCTCTTTGTGAGACTCATATGGAGGCGATCGAGCATTTGTTGATCACCCTCTTGTGGGGTGGCCACATGCATTGGTTCTGTAAAGAAATCCGGTTACCAACGTCCACATCATGATGAGGGGGGGGTCTGGATTTGCCACACCTGGCGAGTCATTGCCATATCCCAAGGTTGGCTTTCCTATACCACGTTTTGACGGAGGGCTTGATTTTGGTACAGAGTGTTAGGGACACCTTCCCTAGCCTTACCATCACTCCTTCCATTTCTTGGGGTAAGCGCCGTCGCAGTTGTGGAAGGTTGTTGAGTTTCCTCAGTAAGTGTCAGTCAGCCTTGAAGGTCATTCCTTAGTCCAGACCTTTCTTGGCCTTGGAGATAATTGTATCCTGAATTAGTAGAGGGGGTCGCAAAGGATTCTCTGTGTGACTGGCTTGGCTTGTCAGCATCGGAGTTGTGCTCCTAGATGCCAGAGGTGGATTACCTCAGTAACTCAGAGTTTTCTCCCAGCTGGAAAGTGATTCGGAACATGCTACCTCTCAGTGACGTACTCTTCAGATGGGGCCAAGCAGATTTACCAGACTGTCATCGGTGTGACCTTAGTTTAGAGGAAACGGCTGTGCACGCCTTCTGCCATTGTCCTCAGGTGTGCCCCTTCTGGGGGTATGTTGGCATAAAACAGATGGTGCTTTTCACGTTACTAGCTGTAGCTAGAATGGTGGTGTGGACGTTGCGAAAGGAGGGAATCTTGCGAAATGAACGGTTTTTCTATCAGGATCTGGGTGTTTTCTTTAAGCACCAGCTTAGGGTAAAAATCAGATCTGATCAAAAGCTTTTGATTTCGACAGATTTCAATGAAAGGTGGGTGACTGAGGTAAGCATGGTTTGTGTGGACAAGACTGGCCTTGATTTTCTCTTCTAATTCCCCTTGATGTAACAGGATGGTTTTCTGTGAGCCCTCCTCTGATTAAGTTAGTGCAATTTTGCTTTCATAGTTAATGAGTTTAAGTGTTGTTCCGGGCATTCTCTTTTGTTATGATCCACATCAAGATTCCCAAACTCCCCAGTTTTTTGCTGTCTCCTGTTTTTATCTCGGCTGGATCAGCCTTTAATTTTCCCATTCCGTCATTTATTTTACCCTGCCCATTCCATTAGTGAGGATGCTGCTTGATTCTGTCTATTGGCAAAATACAGTGGCCTCTCTTATTTTGATGGCTGGACGGTTCCTACTAATATTGTTTTGTTTTAGTTGTATCTTTTGTTTTTGGGGTTCCCCCAGCATTTCATGAATCAGGAGATTTTTATTTATATATATTTATGGACTTTCAAATTTTTTAATTGTCATGGGGTGTTTTATAGGTTCCCCTGTGAGTATATGGTATTTTAATGTATGTAGGATTAGAGGTGATGGATAAATTCTTGTGATAAACATGTAAATTATAATGAATGAATGGGTAGTGAGTAAGATTAACTAGGATTAGGACAGCTAAGGAAGACCAGCCCCTTCCTTTCCCCACCCCTTCAGCCATGTGCCACAATTCGTGTATTTTAAGGAATAAATATCTGTATTGAATTACAACCCAGTTTATTTTTGTCAGCAAACTGGACGCTAGTTGGAAACCTCCTTGTGAAGGTGTCTCTCACACTCTTGTTTGTGTGAGAGTGATTGGCTCTTGTGGTTAACTAGTGGCAATGGTTGAGCATACCATGAAACTGGCCCTAATATTATGGACTGCAGTATTCATCCCGGGCCAGTAGATGGAGTATTTCCAATGACAACCCTGGTGCTTATGGCATGCTGATATACACTTTGCTGTGAAAAGTTCACCATCACCCTAGCAAACAATGAGGCTGACCACAAGATGAATAAACATCTGAATCAGCTCATATCTGAATCAATACAGGTTAGAGACAAGGTCTTAGTCAACAGACTTCATTCAGCTACAGCTCACATATCACATCTGCCTTGGATAAGTCATCAAGACAAATGACATGGTACTCCAAATTGCAAATGGTCATAGCGAAACTAGTTGGGTCCATTACATTCATGAACTCTCCAAGCAACACCCAACTCAGCACCTCATCCTTCGTCTGATGATCATGTGAACAATGAGGATCCTAGATCTAGCGATCTCACATGTCCGTCATCCATCCTGATATTCTAAAGAAGAAATCCCTAACGACAAACACATGGTCAACTACCAAAACATTTTTTAAAATTTCATTATGCACGAAAAAAAATAAGATAAAATAAAATTACACCATACATACAACACACCAACCCATTCTAAGTGAAAAATATAATGAACTCTTTAAAAAAAAAAAATCCTTTTTTTTTACTTTTTTCAGGCACGTATTTTTTATTTTAATTGTCGGAATTTAATTAAACTTTTACTTTCACAACACAATTAAAAAAAAAAATTGTTAAAAAAAAAGAAAACTTCCTTTTCTTTATTCTTTCAGGCACGTACATTTTAAACTTCGCGCATTGCACAGTAATCAACACAAGTGAAGCTTCCGCGCATAATAACTCAAGGCAAACGAATGTAAGCCAGTAATGGCAGCCAATCTGTCTACGCGACGAGAAAAAAGTCGAACTTACAGTGTCCATAACTTCTAAACAGTAAACGAACGCAATGTTTTAATGTCTTTTTCGAAATAATCAGGCAACTTCACACCAGAATGGTACATTCTCATTTGGAGGCTTTTGGTGCTTATACTGCAAATTAACCAGAAAAATAAAAAAAAAATTGTTCATTGCTGATTCACATAGTAATGCTTCTATTGGTTTAAGGTTAATGTGTGTAGGCGTATCGAATAGAATGTTCTTGTTGCTAGGGGTGATAAGGTAAATGTATGAGTTACAACTTGTTAATTTGAGTTCAACATGTACATTTGCACGGAATTATGACGATTTTGGAAAATTTTAAGGGATATTTAGCGTGGGTATTAAAATAGAAATTAACCGACTTTTTTGTTTTAAAATGTATGGTTTTAATTTAAAAGTTTTAATGGTTTTGGAAAAATTCTGAAACTAAATTTATAGATCGCGACAGCTATTAGGGAGATGTGATACTTTTTAAATATTTAAAAAAAATATTCAGTTAATTATCCCTCCTATACCCTAGAGCCTATGGGAATTGATTTGCTAGTTCAGAAAGCAGAAAGCTATTACAAAAAAAATGAAGTCCTTCGATATAGTTTTTCTTTTGTTCTTTAACTATTAACTTGTAATTTCTGATTAAATTATTACAAACCTAATTGTTTAATAACTGTTGTTACTTTGCAGTATAAAAAAATATTACATTATTAAATATTAAATGTGTGAAGAAAAAAAAAAAAGAGAACTAAAGAAGACATCTAATTTCTACAGAAAAAAGAAAAAATATTATAAACTTTTTAAATGTGTTAAAAAAAAAAAAAGAAAAAAAAAAGGCTTATTAAGCAGACAACTAAATGTGAGTAAATAAATTGTTTGAATGTTTTTTGCTGTTACCGTAAAAAAAGGCATGGAATCCAGGAATTGTCTTTTTAAAAAAATAAATAAATAATTAAAAATTGATAAATTTGCTAATTAATCCCCGAAAACCAATTGTAATGAAAATTTCCATTCTGGTGTTTAATTTACATTACAATGACATATTTGCACTTATATTGTCGATAACTCCTAAACGATTTTCTTCCGAATACTTTTTGGAATTAATCAGTCAATTTCACGCCAGAATGGAAATTTTAATTACAATTGATTTCCGGAGATTAATCTGCAAATTTACCAAAATTTTAAGTCTGTGAACTCTTTTATTTCTTGAGTTTATATTTTTAAAAGAAGAACGTGTCAAAAGAGAAACAGAGCATTTCTGTCCTGTCCTGCTCGAATATTTTTTTTTTTATTTCTTTCGATAAACAATTTTAGCTCGCCATTTTGCGCATGCGAATTACGGCCGCGATTCTAGAATTTTATTGAAATTTGTTCATTGCAAACCTGAATTAATTCACAATACGATGGATGGAAGCATAAGGTTATGAACGTGTTTAGTTTTACTTTTAAGTTGACCGACTAAAAAATATGAATAGTGTATTGGTGTCATTTAATAATGTTGTAAACTAAAAATTAAGTTGTTGTACTTTAAAAAAATTTTAATAATTGTTGCAGACTCTGGCAACAGGCAATTTTTTTTAGTCACATACGTCAACCTGATCACAGAACTTCTGAGAATAATTATTTCTTAATAATAAAATTGAATCATAAATAAGATTTTTTTTTTGTATCTTACCAGGTAAATCTAATGCCATGATTACTGAAGCCAATAACGTCCACTCACGGTTGTTCCTCGGTTTTCCTTTTCGGGAAACACAACTTTGGTAGTGTTTATAACTACAATTGGCTAATTCATCAGCAAACTTGTCACTTTCATCGTAAAACATCGCTTAATTTAAAAATTTAATAACGTTGTTTTGATAGGTAACATCGACATCAAGGGAGATAACTCTAATTTACAAAACTTTTGTGAGCAATGATTTTTTGGGTGGAAATCTATTTTAAAAACATACAAATATAGAAGTGAAGAGAAATGAATAAGCAGTGAAACACGCATAAAAAGAAATTTGTTCAACACGATATTTTTTTTGCTTTTGCAGACAACGAAATTGTTACTGTTAAATTTTGTCAGCGTTATAACACAAAATTTAAGTTCACTTATTTTTACATACACTCTGTCTCTGATACTGTGCATCCATTAGCATAAAAAATAAAAAGTAAAACTATATCTTTATCATGTGTGTGTAAGCATTTATCATAACTTGTAGCGTATTTAATAAGTCTATTTTTTCGATCATCGCTTTACATTGTTGGCATGTCGTTATAATTTTTCTTTTTATTTTATTTTATTTTAGGTACCTCCATGGAGATCTCTAAAAAAACAGCATCCATAGCATGATGAAAAAGACGCCAAACTTGACGAAAACAAAATTTCATCGTCTAAATGTTTATGTTACTATGAAGAGGAAAGACCAAAGTTTTTTTTTAATTATTTTTTAAAATTTTACCTTCTTTTTAGAACATTCAAAATTTTGATTAAAAAAACCTTGTTTCTCTTTATCACCGGAACCAGTAAAATAACACAGACACTTTTTAGCACTTTTTTTTTTGTATGACACACATTAATTTGGAAAATCTTGCAAAAATAAAAATAATTGTCGGATGTTAATGAAACTTTTAGAAACTATTCATAGATGATAGAAATTATTATAAATATGTTTTGTTTTTTTATTATTAAAGGTGCCCTGGCCACAAAGGCCAGGACCCTGCATTATATTTATTGTATATAAAATACAATATGGGCACAAGGCCAAAATGGGGAGGGGTTGAGGCTGGTCGTCACTAAATATCTTATACCTAGCTAATCTGATTAACGACACATCCACACATTACTACAGTTTCCACATTCACCATAAGAACTCGTCCGTCGCCAATCAATACTCCATCCACCATAATACCGCATCCTCTCAAGAGGAACCTACAAAACGCGCCCCCATACCTTAAAATTTAATGATAATAATTATATATATACAATTCTAATAATGAAGAATGAGAGGGGAGGGAGATGAACGCAATAATAAACTAAAACTCAACACAAAGTAAACTAAACATAATTGATGTTAGCAGGGCCTGTCCAACCCTCAAAAAGGAGAGGCTGCTGTATTCTGCATGTTGGACAAAATCAAGTCGAGCTGCTCACATAGGAAATTCTTCGCGACCCCCTCCACTAGAAGACGACAGAAGACCTTCCTAGGCCGATCAACGCTCGCGAAGGAAATCTGATTGATCCCGGGGTTTACGAAGGCACTCAGCCCGCGAGATGGGGGGATTGATAGTAAGGCGAGGGAACGCGTCCCTAACAATCCCCGCCATAACCGAATCTCCTCCTGTCAACGCGCAGCGTAGGAAAGCCAACCACGAGGCAAGTTTGTGGCTCGCCAAGTGTGGCATTCCCAGCCCCACATGACACAGATGTTGTGCACAGACTCGTCTGTCGACCCGATTCCCGCGTCCTCTCCATAAAATGGAGGATAGCGAGCGCTCGAGCGGCTTCCTATGGTCTTTACAGAGAGGAAGTAAAGACAATCGGGAAAACGTAAGTGGCACACGCCTCCACTGTGCCCTTCACGGACAACCTCTGTTGACGCCAAATCTGACCGGCCGCGTCGACCTTTGCTCGTACTTCAGACCAATTTTTCTCCAGCTGGAGGTTGGGTCCAAACCACACTCTAAGAATGCAGACAGGACCGTCTGTCCAACCGATGGACCCCGGAAGATCGACCCTCTTCCAGACACCTAACTCAAGCCGGACAACACACCTCCGCCCTGCCCTTCACAGACAACCGCCGTCGATTCCAAGTCTGACCGGCAGAATCGACCTTTGCACGTACTTCAGACCAATTCGTCTCCAGCTGGAGGTCAGACCCAAACCACACTCCAAGAATGCGGACAGGACCGTCCGTCCAACCGAAGCGGCCCGGAAGAGGGACCCCCTTCCAGGCACCTAACCGCAAGCCGGATGACTTGTCGCGGTTAATCTTGGCCCCTGTCACCTTTTCGTACCGATCAAGCGCCTTCAGTACCACCTCAATGTCGCTGCTGCACGACACGAAAGCAGATACGTCATCGGCGTACGCAGAAACCCTGGCTCGAGGCCCTCCAGGAACGGCGATCCCACGTAGGGCTGGACTGCTCGCCCTGTCCCTCAGCTGGCGAAGGAGAAGCTCCAACGCCAAAGCATAAAGTAGGGGCGACAGTGGGCAACTCTGACGAAACAACTTAGACAAGTAAAAGCGCACGACAGCTTCCCGTTCACCAGTACCACAGCACGGGGGGGGGCTATGCAGGAGGCTAATCCAGAGGCAGAAATCGGGTGCGAATCCAGCGATCTGCAGGACAGTAGCAAGGTAGCGATTGTCAACCCTATCAAATGCCTTGGACTGATCCAAATTGATCAGCGTGGCCTCATCGTCGTCTTTTACACCCTCTATGATCATGCGGGTCAGGTGCAGGTTGCTCTCAATTGTTCGGCCCCTCACAGAACAATCTGCTCCGGACCCAACAGAGACTCGGCAACTGACTGCAAATGCTCCTGAAGGATCTTGGCCAAAATCTTTAACTCTGTGTTTAGCAGTTATGGGCCTGTAGTCATCTAGTTACCCCCCTCAACACCCTTACCCTTTTTCAACAGCGTGATCACACCCCCTGGAGAACCGGCCGGGGAGAGACCCCTTCTAGAACCAGTTGTTGAACACGATAGTCAAAATCAGGACAAAGATGTGCGACAGCTTCAAATACAATTCATCCATCCAGACCGGGCGACTTGACTCTGCCGACTTTCTTCAATGCCGCGTAGACCTCGCCGTCCGTGATCTTTCTCTCGCAGCTAACCGCTTCAGTCGATGATAGCCGAGGAAAGTCAGACAAATAACTGCGAAACTCGTCCTCACAAAGACCAGGCTCCCTGGTAAAGTGGCTCTCGAAATGCCGCCGAAACGCCTCGCACATCTTGTCAGTTTTGACTTCACGAATGTAATAATCGAAACCTCGACGGATCTCTTCCTTGTGCAAGACAGCGCCCATGTTCACAGCTTCGGAAGACATCTTGCTTAATCTATGCCTAATTACCTGGCCCATGTAGTGCTCGCTATTCAAGCGCTCCAGGGCCTCCCTAGCTAAGGAACCTCTAGGGGATCCCCCCCCCCAGCTACCACCCAGGAAAAATTAGCCTTAAGCGTCCTCACCTTCTCAGCTCTATCTAGGGCAAGCCGTTTGCTGAAATCAGAACCTAATTCTACATTTAAGTCTGTCCCACCACCTATTCCCGATAACCGCCCCACTAGCTCCCACTTCACTATGCTAGTTAGCTGATCCCGGAAGTCCCGCCTGTCCAGTAAAGACAGATTGAACTTCCAGTAGCCATTCTAGGCCTATGATCTAACGCCACCTGGGCACACAATCTAACAAGTCTACGCCAGCTCCTCTAACATTCTGTCAAGGTAGCTAACCACCTTGTCACAAGGCCAATTAAGAGCCCACGTCCACATTTTCCCCCCGGGGTGATCGACCCGATATCTATCGACGAGACCAAACTCTTCGATCAGATCAACCAGGCTATGATCGTCCCTTCTCCCGCTAGCTCCCCACCTCCTATCTAACTTGGGGTTCAGGATGGCATTCCAGTCCCCCATTAAAACTAGGCGCGTTGAATTCACCAGGAACGGCCCCAACTGCCGAAAAAACGAGACCCTCTCTTCATGGTCGTTGTGCGCATAAACCGCAACGACTCGGAACGAACCACTTTTCACGGCAATATCGGCCACGATCAACTGGTCCTCGGCATCGGTATGCATATTGCACAAGGTCCACCTTCGCATCAAGGGTCCGCTTCACTAGAAAAGAAACCCCTCTGACATATCGGTCCCCATATGCTGAATAAACAACAAAGTCGTTCTCCAGCACACATGCATCGATGCTGCCAACAAAGTGGGTCTCTTCGATCACAGCGACATCCACGCCGACAAAAGATCACAGAGCAGGCGGGCCGCCTTACCCCGATCCCTCAAGAAAAAACCTACTCACATACAAGCCGGAAATCTACAGCATTAAGGACCCCGACCGATTGTCCCAGGCTTCCTGTTCCCAACTTCGTCGTCATCCGACCATCCAGGACAATACCGCCGACATCCATAGGGTACGTTAGTTTAACTGCCCTATATGAGGGGAGATGGAGCAAAACTGGGACCCTCCCAGAACAAAAATTTCTCAGTTTTTTAAGTTCAAATTCATCTGTTCAAAAAACCTTATTTTGGGGTATGCTTCTTGGGCCTCGTATAAGTGGCTCCAAACCTTAAGGTAGGCCCCAGTATCTCTCACAACGGTGATGACTCCTGGGGCGTGAGAGAAGTTCCGCGGATCTTCAACCGACTTCCCATCTACTTTATCCATTTTTAGAAAGAGACGTAAAAGGGCCCTTTTCTGCTTGGACAGGCCCTTTTTGGCTTCTTCTGTGTCGACCTTGCAGATCTCGTCCGGTCCCGGGAAGAATTTCTTCTTTCTCTCACTTGAAGGGTGAGGAAGGGAAGAAGTGGATGTGCGAGGGGGGTGGAGATTGAGCTGAGGGAAGAATTTGAGAGAGGGGGAGGAAGCACGGGAAGGGGGAGCAGAGAGGCTCCTTGTTTTTGCTGTTGAATCTTTGGTTTCTCTTGGCGAAGCAGGGAGGGAGAGTGACCTGGTTTTGTCCATGTGCCGCTCT